TTGTTGGTCTATCCATTTTCTGGTGAAAAAATAAACTAATTGAGCCATTGGAAAAGTTGCTAACTTGCTGTACTTGTTAGTATATTTATTATCTGAGGACAAACATGTTTCTCATAGCCACAATTATCCATTGGCAAAGGGCTTACTGTTTTTCCCTTTTTCCTTTTCTGTTTATGTTTTGTCCTTTCACTGGCAGCGGGCATGGGGTAAACCTGTTCTGGACCGCGTGGGCCTCATAATTGAGATTTTCAATGCGCATGCTCAGACAAAGGAAGCAAAACTACAGGTGAACTGCTCTCTGCTATGGTGTTTCATGTATCCTCACATGATAGTTTCTGTATCTATAGAAGAGGGAATACTTAGTTCTCCGCATCTGACTTTCCATTAACTTACAGGCTGAGTTGGCTGCACTTATGTACAAGAAAAGCCGTCTTGTTCGTTTACGTGGTCCTGGTGGACGTTATGCTTTTGGTGTAGCTGGAGAAGCTGAAGTAGTTAGTGCCAGAGGGTAACTTTATTGCTTGTTGACTTAATCTCTATTCAAGGATGCTTTTGGAAATTCAATGAAGTGCTTTCTGGTCACATTTATCCACTTGTCAGTTATATTTTTTCTGTAATTAAGATGACTGCTAAAGTGCTTCACTTGCAGGAGAGGAAGTGGGGGACGTGGTTTCATTAGTGGTGCTGGAGAGACAGAATTGCAGCTTCAACGGCGAAGGTTTGTCGCTGATTTTGACTGAGAAGATGTATTATTTTGTTAATTCTAAATTTTGTGTGGACAGGTAAAGCTGGAAAGGTTTTAGTCTATCTGTAGAAAATCCAGAGAACCTCTAATGTTATTCGACTGAAGCGGGTCTAAATCGAGCGAAATGGATATTGGGATTCATTTACCCAACTAGCTTGGCATTGAGGCTTGGTTCTTATTATTGTTTTAGACAAAGCTGGAAGGCAACCTTTCTGTTAAGTTAGCTAATAGCAATATATCGAATGTCAGTGTTATGCGTACACAACTCTATTTAGGAGTCAACCTATGCAAGGTATCTCTGGTAACTATTAAAGAGGTTATTTGAGAGTCAAATGAATATGAGCCTGACTTACTTTATTAGAGACTTCGATGCAAAATGAAGCTGAATGGATGAATGAACCTCAAGCAAGGAATAGGATTAGTTGCATTTTGTCTTCTGTCCAAAGGACAGTGATTTAGTGTGTATAGCAAGCTACTGCTTCTTTCAGTGGCTATAAACTTACCGTATTCTTACTGATCACGTGTGTATTTTATGGAACTACTTGTCAGAAGAAAAATGAAAATGATTAGTAACTACAGAAATAGAATGTGATGATATATGATTATACCCTGAAATGTTTGTCAACAGAAATATGTATCGCTCCTTTTCTGATATTTTTTTTTAATTATTGAATTGTTTTCAGTTAATAGTAGAGGTATTCTAGTATATACTTTAAACATTCCCAGTGGTCCACTTGCTTGATAATGATCCAATATCATTTTGCTCATGCACTTTATCAGTATGATATATTTCTACTCTAACTGCTTTGGGTTTCAGAATTTTAGAACGGAGGAATCAGTTGTTATCTGAAATTAAAGAGGTTCGTCGTACACGAGCATTGCAACGCGCTGCTCGCAGAAGGCATGGAGGACCAGATGGTCAAGAAATTCCTACAGTTGCTGTTGTTGGTTACACAAATGCTGTAGGTTGATCAGAACTACATGAATCCCTTTAGTTTGATATTAATGCAATCTCTGTGTATTCATTGATTTGTTTCTTTAACAGGGGAAATCTACTTTAGTTAGTGCAGTCTCGGACAGTTATCTCTACTGTGATGATCGGTATGGTAAACCAGTTGCTAGTCTGTACTTTCATTCTGATGCTGGCTGTCTATTAAGCTTTTAACTTCTAACTTGCCGCCATGCCCTTCTATATCTTATGCTGACAAGCTGAGTTATATGACACTATCTGACATATGGGCTCTTAATTTGCAGATTGTTTGCCACAGTGGACCCCAAGTTAAGAAGTGTCATTCTACCATCAGGGTAATACAAAATTGTGTGAATTAGTAAGACCTTCCATCTAGTTTAGTGAAATTAGTGGACCTCCCTTTTAGTCTGAGAAATATCTATAGATTCTCCTCAACTTTAATATTTCGTTACACATACCTCTGCTGCCGTTATTTGCGCTAAGCAATGGTGTCAATAAAAAATTAAAGTTCTTGTTGCAATTTTGCCTTTCAATGGTAACGTCTTATCTAAAATCTGTAGGAGAAACAAGAAAAAGAAATTTGAGAAATTTTATATGTTGTAACAACAACAACAACAAACCCAGTGTAATCCCACAAGTGAGGTCTTGAGAGAGTAGTGTGTACGCAGCCTTACCCCTGCCTTTTGAAGGTAGAGAGGCTTAGTGAAAGTAGAGAGGCTGTTTCCGATATACCCTCGGCTCAAGGAAAATTTTTTATATGTTGTAACTTATTACTAAATGCTGGACTTCAAGTTTAACGAGTTCAGTCACTGTTTTCTCCATGCAGTTCACTTTTGTTATTTTCATTTAACTTTTTGTTTGAGAAAAGTACTCGAAGTTTCTCTAAACAATCAATTTAAAAAAAGAGGGTATATTGCTCAGAGTAATGGACTTCTACTGTTACACAGGGAGGTTCTATGATATTTCTCAAAGTGGAGTAGAGGTCCATTGAGATTTTCTTAAGTAGATGGAATGTCTAAGTAATTGGCTTTACAAAATTTTAAAGTTGCAAAAGTGATTTATGCCTTTCCCAAGGCTGATGGCTCGGCCCTTTTTTGATCACTGGATTAAATATTTCATTCGCAGAAGGAAAGTGCTGCTCAGTGATACTGTGGGATTCATATCGGATTTGCCAACACAGGTGAGTGGATAGTATTAGTACCCGCTCCTCCTCTTGTTATTGCATCAGACACTTGGAGACTGTTCTGTTTTTGCAGCTAGTAGAAGCCTTTCATGCAACATTGGAAGAAGTTGTTGAAGCTGACCTCCTTGTGGTATATCTTCTTTCCCTGATTACATTTTCAATGTTGTTAACATGCTAAGTGCCGATGCTTATAGCTCCACACAACTGTGCAACTCAAAGTTGCAAATCCTTGAACTGAAGGAAAGTTGCTTGAATGTAGAAGCCTCTAATCTGACTGATTGCTTAATTCTTGCAGCATGTGCTGGACTCAAGTGCACCTGATCTAAAGGAGCAGCGGGAAGCAGCGTTGCAAGTTCTTGGGCAGATAGGAGTCTCCGAGCATAAGCTCCAGAATATGATTGAAGTTTGGAATAAGGTAGGGAAAATAACTACCATTCCCTAAATTTAAAGACAGACGGTGATAATCGGATTCTAAAACATGGATCCAGATGCACTGCTTCAGTACTTTTTATTTATTTATGTAGATTGATCTTCATGAGGATTTCGTTGGAGATGGTTATTGCAACGAGGATGAAGTTTCTAGCTGGTCAGACGAAAACAATGATGTAACATCCAATAAATTGTGTGAAGAGGATCTCCCTGATTATAAGACTAATGAAAATGAGGACTTTGAGCAATCAGGCAATCTTGAACAGGTCATAGATGATCAACAAGGTGACTACTCTGATGACTGGTTGGTCTCAGGCGATGAACAAGATTCCTGGGTTGACTACAATAGTTCCTTGGTGGGCTGTGGGAGTACAGAGGTCCAGCAAAACAACCACTCTAAGAAGTTAGAGGTTATTAGTAGTGAAACCCAGTCCGTCTCTGAGTCTGCTACAGCTACACATGTCAAGACGTCTGCCTTAACAGGTGTTGGATTGCAAGAGTTGCTGGAGCTTCTCGATGAAAGATTGAAGCCCCAGAAAACCATAGAGAAGAATATCATTGACCGCAAATGGAGACCACCACGCACAGAGGATAGCAGAATAGCTGTTGAACAATAGTATATATAAAAAACAACACAAGCATTCCGTCTCAAGGCAGTTGTGTTTATCCACAACTAAAGAGGATTGAAGTTTTAACACAATTAGGAGGATGTGTGACTAGCTACATGCATCTCCTTGACATGGCAGATTCGAACATGGATTGGAGCTGCCTTTGGTCAGTTGGTTATACGGGATGAGTTCACTCCCACTGTGAATGCTACGCTAGGTTGTCCTATCTCTGGTGTTTCTATTCTCTGAATAACCTGCGTTGCTTACCAAACGTGAATGCCTATTGTAACTGGTTCCCAAGCTCTTCATATCCATTTTCAACATGTGGCATGTAGATACAATGTGTATTTCCTTCATGTTACATCATGTACTTTGAATAACTCCATACATGTTCATGTTGTTGTGTGGCATTGGACGTTAAAATGCCGTGAGACAAAATAATCAAGTTGTACCCGAAAGAAGTATGAGCATATTTGTAACTTAATAGTGAATTGTGTTAGAGGAAGAGGAATAATAGTATGGGTTGCATTGTACAAAGCTAATGGCTCGAATTAAAGCTTTATGTCGCAGAATATAGTTTAACTAATTCGGAATTAGGATGTAATCGTCTAGTCAAATGATTTTAATAGTACAATGGTTTGTGCTCCAACAGGGACAGCTACTACTAACTTCCTAGTTCTGACAATTAAGTCTTTCTCCAAATTCTTTTATCACCGCCGACACACATCTATAGAAAGAAGTACGCTAGTCACTACTCAAGGATCTATTCACATTACTTTCCAATTACGGATAGGAGATAAATAATTTTATTTCACACAATGGTGTTTAATAAAATAGAAAGTCAGAAATAATATCATTTTCTTTAACAAATTTTGTTTAAAAAACAGAGTAAAGTATAATTTGTTCATGTTAAGTGTAATTATTATGAGTAATAAAGTGGGATCACCGACGGTCGACGGCAAAATGAGTGAAGTGTAGATCGGCAAAGAGGTACTATATTAAAAGACAAGTAGGCTATATTATTAAACTCTAAGTCGCACTCTCTATAATAAAGGCGCGTAGAGTGGCCATATTCACATTCATTCCTACGTGGTTGACGTTTGCTGTCTTTCAGGGTCCCTCCCTCCCGCTAGGCTAGCTAGTTTTTGGTTGGTTTTCACGCGTGGGATCCATGCATATGTTTCTGTGTTAAACAAACAAAAAACACAACAGATCCAAATCTAGCAACAAACAACCTTTGAACAAACATATTAGATCCAAGAAATACAGTCCCCGCTCGCTCTGAGGTGCCACTCTCCTTCCCTAATTGCCAATTGTTGCTCTAAAGCTTCCATTCTCATCATTTGGTTGGTTTTGCTTGCCTCTTATTTCTGCCCTCTTCTCACTTCTGGATATACATTTTAAATGAATCTATGTGTTATTTGTACTTTTTCTTGATTTTGTTGACACCCCAGTTCTCTAAATCTTATATCTTAATTTGGGCGTCTTTTAAATTTGTTAGCAATGTTTTATCTTTTGCAGATCCACATTGTCCCTTTTGAATGTTCATTTGTTTTCTTCAACAATTGCATATTACTGACTGAAATTCAATCTCTCTAGTTGAAATATAAACCGTAATTGGCGTTTATGAAGCTCGTTCAAGATTAAGAAAATATTTCTATGGCTAATTTCAGATAATTTCTACTTGCTAATGGCCGACTCTTCCTATATTGCTGTAAATTTAATGGATAGTGCGATCTTCTGCCATAAGAAAATATGAGTGGCTGTAGTTTCACTTTTGGCAATCCGTATCTAAAATAAAGGAAGTTGGATACTTTCCATTTCTGTGCTACTCTGCAATTCTCTATATAGTTAAGTTCACCTAGTATACTTATTATGGCGATTCTTGATTAACATACCGGTACCTGATACTGTAATCCTAAGGTGGTAAAAAAAAGTGTTTGTATTAACAATTGGTCAACTCCATAAACAAGGTGAACATTCTATAATCGCAAAAACTTAGAGCTTGGATCACCTTAGCTTATATGCATTGGTAAATATTTCCTTTTCTTATTTGGTTCCATGATGTAGTATTCTGGGCTTTACACTCCACTAAAGCAATCATGTCTAGAAGGCCCGGAAACCCCACACGGCGCTTTGCTGCTGGTGGAAGCCTCGGGGGCATTTTTCATCCGAAATCACGCCCTACTCCTTTGTTACCTACAATCCTTCTCATTTTGGTAAGTTCCATAAGTACTTATCTGATAGCACTATAACTGGTGATTAAGTATAATTCATTCTAGCAAATTATATTCACTTTCTTTTAATATCTGGTTTCCTAATTGGGGCTATGTTTCAAATCTAATGCACTTAGCTTTTCTTTAATCTACTAATTTCAGGGTGCTGTCCTTGTTGTTGGCTATGTTTATCGAGGCTCAGGTAGTTCATTTTTTGTTTTTGGTTCTAAATAAGTAGTTATTTTAAAGTAGTTTGTGCTTCCTAATTCCATGGGATCATCCACCGGTAGCATCACTCATGAAATATATGTGTTTCCAACACTAATCAGAAATTGTCATTAGCTTTTGTTCTTATCCTTGCAAATCATACTTCAAATTGTCTCATTTTTACTCAATGGTGGCAACTAGCAAGATCCTGATTTCCAGTTGTATTGTATGCATTATACTACTACTTGGCTTTCTATTGGCTGATTGATCATTTTCCCCTAATAGGTACATCTGGAAGTTCAGCACTCAGCAGGCTTGAAGGTAAGCACCTTTATGTATTGGTCATCTTTGTTGCATCATGCCATGAAAATATCTGTCTTTGCAGAAAAATTTAACAGTTATGATTACTTTTTCGCTGTTTCATGAGGATAATTTAAGGCAAATTGCTCGGGGATATGGGAGGTCAGGGTTTCAAACAAAGAATTACACAAGTGGTCAAGCCCTTGAATATGAAGGCTTGTTACCTCGGACTTAGCTTGCAACTACCAACAATCAACAGCCCAAAGAATTTTCTCAGGTTTCATCACCACTAATTCGGAAGCCCATAGATGGAAGCCATAATCTATAATCAAGTTTAGCTATCTCAGGATCCTATGTGGGGTAGAGTCTCACATTTTGGGCATGCTAAAGCCTTTGGGATCTTTTCAAATTTTGTAAGAGTTGCCCCGCGATCCTGGTAGATTATTAAACAATGTCGAGAGTGCATATCTTACTTCAGGGTGTAATTTTCCTCTATGAGTTTGTACTGTATATGCGAACTCAGTTTGTTCAAAAAGAGCAATTTATTGAACTTAGAGATTGCTTGTCTTTCAATGGTTGTAGGTGAATTTACCTGCACTTCGGAGCTTCAGCTGGCTATTCCTTACTTAAAGAAGGCATATGGTGACAGCATGCGCAAAGTTTTGCACGTGGGACCTGATACTTGTTCTGTGGTGTCCAAACTATTAAAAGAAGAAGAAACTGAAGCATGGGGTGTTGAACCTTATGATGTCGAGGATGTCGAGGCGAACTGCAAGAATCTTATCCACAGAGGAATAGTACGTGTGGCAGACATCAAATTCCCATTACCCTACAGGCCAAAATCATTTTCTCTTGTTATCGTGTCGGATGCAGTGGATTACCTGTCTCCTAGATACCTAAACAAGACTATTCCAGAGTTAGCAAGAGTGTCTGCTGATGGTCTAGTTATTGTTACAGGTAACTATTGAAAGTTTAATTACATTGCATGAAAAGTTCTTAGTTACGTGCTTTTACGATGTTTCGATACCCATCTTTTTGGATAATGAAATATATACCCACCATATTTCGTTCTTCTGGCTGTTCAAATTTCCCATTTTCTCTGAAAGGCTGCTAAATGCTTGACACTCGACTCTCTCTCATAATTACTCATTATGTATGCCTCATTGTAGTGAGAAATTGGACTTTACACGAACTGAATTCATATCATTAATTCATTATACTACTGCTCCACAATAGCCTGGTTTTAGAATTAACAAGTGAGGTTGCTCCAGCGGCAAGAGGACTCCACTTCCAACCAAGAGGTTGGGAGTTCAAGTCAGTGAAGGAGCAAAGTGGGAAAGGGTCCTTTTGACTCCTGGGCAGGGGATGTGGCGGGGTGGGGTTTACCAATCAAAAAGTTTAAATTAAAATAAAAAAATAAAAAATAAAAGAGAGAGAGAAAGAGAGAGAGAGAGAGAGAGAGAGAGAGAGAGAGAGAGAGAGAGAGAGAGAGAGNCCTCTGCATTTTTCCTGCAGCCAATTAATTGCTATTTGCCACATAATGTAGGTACCATATTACCATTGGCATATGCTGTTGTTGATTCAGAAAATGACGCATCATGGAAGTGGTTTTTTGAGCAATTCAAACATGCATATGGTGAAAGACCAAATATGTGTGTTGTTTCGGATCGGAATGAGAGTATCTTGAAGGCAACATCTATTGTTTATCCCGGCATGCCACATTATTATTGCATGTGGCATATTTGGACAAATATAAGGGCAAAGTTCAAGAAGGGTCATCTAAAGTTAAGCGAATTGTACTTTGCCACGGCACGATCATACACGCTTGATGAATTTAATGAAAGGATGTCAAAGATTGAAGAGATTGACCCACGTGTTAAAGCATACTTATACGATATTGGCTACCATAGATGGTCTCGAGTACATGCTACGGTGAACAGAACTTGGACTATGACATCAAACATTATAGAGTCGTTGAATGCTGTAACAAAATATGCAAGAGAGCTGCCGATAGTAGAACTATTAGAGTATATGAGGACTCTTCTTGAACGTTGGACGAAGGAAAAGTTATTAAAAGCAAAGGATACATTCACATACCTTGGGTTTAAATTCAACAAAGAGTTGGATGACAACAGAACATTGCCGCGCAAGCTTAGAGTAAGATCGGATCATTTATTGCATCAAATTAATTTATACAGGACAATGTAGTAAATTTGTAGATATTTTGTAGATATTTTGTATTTAACCGTATATGAATTGTTTTTTTGTTTGTAATGTAATTGTAGGTGAGGGCTTCAACAGACTACATCCATACAGTACTAGATGGAGTGAGGCGCTATATTGTTTTCTTGAAAACAAGAGATGTAGTTGTGGGCAATTCCAGCTTGATGAACTTCCTTGTCCACATGATTTAGCTGCTTTAAGACACAGGGATGAGTCTTTTGAACAATATTGTTCTCCTTATTACACAAGGAAGAACCTACTGCGTACTTATGAAATACCAGTAAATCCCCTGCCTGATGAAAGCAAATGGAATGTGCCACAACATATATCTGAAGAAGTAGTAAATCCACCTACAGGAGGGAAAAGGCAGCCAGGAAGACCTCAAAAAGAATGATACAAAACATATGATGAAATAAATTCAAAGAAGTACAAGGTTTCATGTGGCAACTGCGGAGGAGAAGGGCATAACAAAAGATCTTGCAAGAATGCACCCAAAAAGAAATAAAATTTTATGTAGTTAACAGAATATTTCATAAAAATTGTTGGTGAGTTCAAGATAACAGAATTTGATGTGTAATTGTTGAGGTTTTTTAAGATCATAATTGTCACGACCCAAAATCCACTAAGGGTCGTGGTGGCGACGGACACCTCTGTCAGGCCAGCCAACTAGATTATCAATTAATTCTTCTTTTAATACCTTTGAAAATCTAAGGTTTATCCTTCCATTTTCATAAACAAAAGTTCACTACTTGAATTCAAATTTAAATAATAATAATTAATACAAATCAGTTGGAACCCATCCCAGAAACCCGGTGTCACAAGCACATGAGCAACTATCGATAAGGGAAGTAAAATACAACATCTGTCCGACATACAGTGGACAGGGAATAAATAATAAAATACTGAAAGGAACTACACTGGCTGCGGGTCATCTAGAACAGTGCAGCTCACCTAGTCCCAGAGTCATCCATGCTGCCACGCCCAGTAGGCTGCTAGAGGTATACCTACCTGTGCAACAAAAATGCACAGAAGTGTAGTATGAGTACGTAATCAACGTGTACTCAGTGAGTATCCCGCCTAATCCCGAAGGGGTAGAGACGAGATGGTCAACTTGACGCTCTCTAACGATCCAGTAATGATTCATCCTTAATATGTCCATACTAAACAGTGGATTTATTTTATAAACATGATCCTAATCCAGATAGAGGAAACAAGTAAACACGTAATTCCTTCATAGGTAAATTTCCAGAATTTCTCTTTAAATATAAATCCAAATATTTTTATGCCACAAAAGGGAAATAATAACTTAATGAAGTTCAAGACAACAGCACAGACATGCGCAAATCATGCCGAGGTCGACGGCCCGCTCCAACAGAAATGTAAATTGTGCACTGCCGAGGGTCGAGCGACACGAACCATAGATGCATCTATTCTCACTGAGGCGTTCGGCCCGTTCCATAAATAAACACATATCCTGCTCGCGAATCATCCATGCGACGCAGGCACACATAAAATACATGCTCAAGTAGGAAATTAAGAGCGTATCGGGGACAATCAACCAAATAGACAAATTTCTCTTTTTAACATTTCAGGGAAAATTTAATATTAAATCTCTTTTTAAATTCCTTTACCGATTCAAGGTGATTGAAACACTTCAAATTATCAATGGGTTCACAGTAATCCAAGTATAACATGCTTTTGGGTCCTAACTACCCGGACAATAGCATAATAGTAGCTACGCACGGACTCTCGTCACCTCGTGCGTACGTAGCCCCCCACAAATAGGAGCACATAACCAATTTAACTCACGTATGGGTTAACTTTCCCTCACAAGATTAGAAAGGAGACTCACCTCGCTCCGAAGATCCACAACCGGCATTCTACATTCTTCCGGAGACTTGCACCAATGCACAATGCCCCAAAACTAGCCAACGATCATACAAACCCATTAATATATGCTCAATTATACTTTACAACCCAATTTATAACAATTCCTAACCCCGAACGAAAAGTTGACAAAAATGCCCTCGAGCCCACGTGCCCGGAATCCGAAATTTCTCGAAGATAAAGTTACCCATGACCTTAGGAACGTCAAATATATGATTTCTCCCAAGTCCATACTCAAATCGTGGTCAAATTCGAAGAAATGTAAAATTCTATA